GGAGGAGGGAGCTGGGGGGTGCAGACTCCTGGGTCTGAGGGAGGAGGAGGGAGCTGGGGGGTCCGGACTTCTGGGTCTGAGGGAGGAGGAGGGACCTGGGAGCTCTGGATTCCTGGGTCTGAGGGAGGAGGAGGAAGCTGGGGGACCAGGGTCTCCTGGGTCTGAGGGAGATGGGGCTGGGGGTCCGGATCCCTGGTTTCTAAGGAGCCATTACCTTGAAGATACTCCAAGAGCGTTCTGGCTTCCATTTGTCTCCTCTAGCATCCTGATGGCATATACCTTGGCCTTGGCTAACTCTTACGGACGTCTCATCTCTGAGCTCAAACGCCAGATAGAGACGGTGAGCCAGACTGGGTTCGTGGGAAGAGGTCCTGGTTATGGAAAGAAGTAGGGGGGAAGGTCTGTCTCACCTCTACTTCTCTTTACCCTTTACTCAGGAGGCGCGGAATAAGGTCTTCCTGGCACAGCGCGCCGTGGCCCTGAGCTCGGCCAGAGGGGCTCTCTGACCTCCCCAGCCTCCCTTTTTAAGTCTCCGGCACGTCGTCTCTAAGAGGGGAGAAGTGGACAAGACCCCAAGCCCTCACAGCCCTGGAATTCGGAGATTTCCGGGGTCCTGGACCTCCCCCACCCTGCCAAGTCCCTCACTCTCCGGCAAACCTCCTTCTTGCATCAATAAAGGCAGCTCAGCCTGCAGAGCGCTCCTCGTAACTTGCATCCTGAGGCTCGCGCTGGGGGGCGGGTGAAGAGCAGGACACAGGCCAATCAAATGTAGAAGCCTCGAGAGGACCGGACGCGCATGCCAGCCAATCAGCTGCCGCGTCCGGTAGCTTCGGGGCGGGGACACGTGTTGGGCTCGGCCGCTTGATAAGAGGCGGTCGCTAGGCTACGCCAACCCCAAATTCGACATCTCAGCCAATAAGCTGTCGCTACGGACTGGTGGGGCGTGGCAGTCAGCCCAGGACCAATCCGTGACTGCGGCAGGAACCACAGGGAGGGTCATCCTCTCACCAATAGGAAGTACTCGGAGGCGGGCCTGCCAGTCGGCGGACGGCTGAGACGCCATGAATATCTTGCCCAAGAAGAGTTGGCACGTCCGGAACAAGGACAATGTGGCCCGCGTGCGGCGTGACGAGGCTCAGGCCCGGGAGGAGGAGAAAGAGCGGGAGCGGAGGGTGCTGCTTGCTCAGCAGGAGGTAAGCCCCGAGTGCGGTCGGGCGGGACTCCCGGGCCGAGCGCGCAGGCGTGTGGGGGAGGGGCCGGAAGCTGGGGTGGCGCGCAGGCGCGCTGCGTCCCGTGAGGCCGGCGGGGCTGGGCGCGGCTGAAAGCGCCGGGCTCCACCTGCGCGGCCCCCGCCTCCCCATCTCCCCGGGCCAACCCCTCACCGGCTGCGGGGGCCCCACCTGCGCCTCCCCCTTGCCCAGGTTTTCCCCCACTCGCGTCGTTCGCGAGGCGAGAGTGCCTGGCACAGGAGGGGCTGGTAAAAAAAGGAATCCTTGCGCAGTTCAAGGAAACTCGGTTCCGTTTAGTTTGCCTGTGCAACCTCCCTGTTGAGCGCCTACTGTATGCTCGCAGAGCGCCTGACCTGCGGCCCCTCAAGCACCATTCGTGGTTGGAGGGGCAATGTCCCGCCTGTGCAGAGAACGGGGATGGCTTCCGAAGGGCCACGACGGTGGGGCGAGCTCCCTGCCGTCCCCCCGGGGCTTACGGTGCAACTGCTAATCTCTAGTTTGCAGTCCTTTGTCCAGTCGGCCCGGAGGTGGTCTGCGTTCTTAAAGTTCGCTTTTGTCAGTAGAGATTGCTCGTCGTCTCCGGGGCGGTGACTGGGAGCCCTACCCGTAGTTCCGGTCGCCCGCTCCCCCGTTTTGGGCTGCTTTCACAGCTGTTTTGATCGTGTCACCTGAGCCTGGGACCCTTCTGGTTGACCCAGCGGCAGCGTACAGGCCCAGGTGTCGCCGCCTTCCCCTGTCTCCCCGGTCCTTGTACTCTTCCTTACAGCCCCCAGCATCAGCACTGGGGCTCCCTCAGACGGACTCTCAGAACCCGTCTCCCAGTTCTTGGAGTCCCGTCCAGGTTCTGAGTGCTCAGCCTGTAACTTTCTTTTCCCAGGCCCGCACAGAATTCCTGCGGAAGAAAGCCAGGCACCGGAGCTCACTCCCTGAGCTCGAACCAGCAGAGGCGGGAGCCCTGGGTTCTGGCCCTGTGGACCTATTTCGGGAGCTGCTGGAGGAAGGGAAAGGGGTGACCAGAGGCAATAAAGAGTACGAGGAAGAAAAGCGACTGGAGAAAGTAAGCTGGCCCCCCACCTAGTCAGTCCTGGGTGGAGCCTGGGGGTTACTGACGGGAATAGAGTTGGGGGGGGGGCGGTGATGAGATGAGCTCAGTACGGAACACCACACTCAGGAGTGTGGGTTATTGCCATCCAGGCCTGCAAGAGGCTTGGAAGTGGGTGCTGGAACCCCCTCCCCGCCCAGCTATGGGACTGTTAGGTACAGACCCCTTGACGGGACAGGGCCCTCTAGGGGTTGGGGGAGAGTTACGGAGCTCTTTCAGTGTCCATCACCTCACCTGCTCTCAGGGATTCCTACCAAACCCTGATCTTGCCTTTGTCTTGCCTCACTCCTTTACTTTGCGAGCTGCTTTCAGGTTTGTCTTCACATTATCTCCCCAGAGTTGCCTGCCTCCGAACCCTAAAGCGGCTGTACCCTGTCCTTCCCCGATGCTTGTTACTGCCCAGGGCATGAGCCCCACCTGTCCTTAACACATGGCTGGGCTGGCTCATGCTGGTTCTGCCTGTCCAGGAGCCTCAGGTGTCCTGTGGTCGAGTGGAGGGCTCCCCGAGGGGACATCCTCACCTCCCTAGTTTCTGTTCCCCTCAGGAGAGGCAGGAGAAAGCTCTGGGCATCCTGACGTACCTGGGCCAGAGTGCAGCGGAGGCCCAGACTCAGCCACCTTGGTACCAGCTCCCCCCGGGGCGAGGGGCCCCCCAGCCTGGCCCAGGTCCAGATGAGAAGATCAAGAACCGCTTGGACCCTCTTCGGGAGATGGAGAAGCATTTGCGGAGGAAGCGGCGGCACAGCGGAGAGGATGGCGGCCGCAGCATGAAGGGGAAGGGGGTGCCCGAGAAGCAGCGGCCAGAAGGGTAAGCAAGCTGGGCTGGCCTGTGGGCTCGAGGACTGGGGCTGCACGGCTGAGGGGCCGCTCTCCACGTGCAGTTTTGGGACCCTGACACGGCAAGCCTGCTTTCTTGAGATCCCCAGGCAGCGTTCGGTGCGGAGCGGCTGGTGGCTTCTGGGGAGACACTGCAGGTAGGGGACACCTAGCCTCGTTTCGAGGTTTTTTTGGTGTTTCCATGCAAAATAGTGGTTAGACCCCAGAAAGCTTTAGGTCTCAGGGGGTTTTGAGTTTGAGAGCCATGGGGTCAGCAGGTTGTGTCCCCAGCAGGACAAATCCCTCAGTAGACAGTTGGGTCGTCCACAGAAGGGGAAACTGAGGCCTGGGTGTGTTGTTTCAGCTGATTAACAGGGAGCTTTCTGGATCTGGAGAGGCACTGACTGTAAAGGGGGTGATGGGATCCTTGTGCGCAGCATGAAGCCAGCTTCCCACCCCCAGGCCTCACGGGCCAGAATGTCTGCTGCGAGGCGGGGGTTGGGGAGTGTTCCAGGGGCTGTGAACTTCCTGACCTGACTCCTCTCCCCAGGCCCCCATCCCTGGACCAGCTTCGAGCTGAACGTCTTCGGCGGGAAGCAATGGAACGGGCTCGTGCAGAGGCCCTGCTGGCCCGAGTCCAGGGCACAGCCCCCCAGGAGGACCAGCCTGAAGAGGAGGCCGATGAGCGGCGGAGGCGGTACAACTCCCAGTTCAACCCCCAGTGGGCCCGGCGTCCCGCCAGCAAGACCCAAGTGCTTACTGACTCCTGGGGGGAGAGGAGAGGCCGTAGCTGCCAGCCGTCATATAAAACTATTTATTCATAAATATTTTCCAAAATGAAAATAGGTTTACCAAAAAATGTCCCTCACTGGGGAGGGGAGGAGGGGGCAGCCCTCGCCCCCGGGGCCCCCAGGGTGGGGCTGCTTCCTGGGGGAGAGGGCTGCCCCTGGCCTGGGGCCTCCCCCAGTCTTCCAGGGCAGGGCCCTCGCCTGGGCAGGGGGGGGGGGTCAGCATGCGGGGGGGTGGGGAGGATGGAGAAAGGGGCCGGTGTCACTGGAGGTCCCGGTCCTCCAGGTAGCGGTACTCAAAGGTGAAGCCTTCCTTCTTCCGCTGGCCCCACTTCTCGTAGTCAAAGTAGATGTAGGTGCCCTGGCCAGGGGAGAAGGCGGTCAGTGAGTGGGCGAGGAGGTGCAGGGGCTCTGGGCTGCACCGACAAAGGGGACAGAGCTCAGGGCCAGGGATGTGCCAGGCGCCGGGCCGGGGGCCCTGCATGCACAGGCCGTGTCCCTCCACCCTCACCAGGCTCTTCTCGGGCAGGGTTCCTGCTCTCCTGCCCCCGTCAGAGGGAACGGGGAGGCGCGGAGAGGCCCCAGCTGGGTCTCCGCCCCAGGCACGTTTACAGTGTCTGTGGCCTCTCGGATGGCTGCGGCGAGGGCCAGAGCTGGTGCTCGGTGGCCGAGCTGGGTCCTAGCATTTAGTCTTCACACGACCCTGAGGCCGTTACCCCATCCGAGAGAACGGAATAGGCTCATTCTACAGCCAGGCACGCTGTTGGGACAGATGTTTTATTGGTGGCCGTGGTGGCGTGGTATTTCTGAAGAAGGGAGGCCTTGACGGGCACTGGGAGGAGTGCGTGGGCCCGAGCCAGGACGGGACAGGGAGTCTGGTTAACAGCTGAGAGGACGGGGAAGGAGGCCAGGTCTGCGTGACTGTCTGAAATGCTGCAAGGAAGCTGAAAGGAGGGGAGGGGACCGAGCTCCCGGAGGACAGGGCTTTGTGCAGTCCTTGGCCTCGGGCAAATATTTGGTGGAAGAGACCAGTGCGGGATATAGTGATTCAAAGTTACTGGAAACGAAATACACGCCTGATGCCTGATACTTGGCCATGGAGCGATCGCTGTTAAGTACTTACACGTCATTAACTCAGTCCTGGTAACAACTGTACACGGGATGTGGAAGGCGTGTTTGCATGTGAGGACAGGGAGACAGGTCCAAGCCTCTCGCCCAAGGTCACTCAGCTCGGGCTGGCTTCAAACCCAAGTGGGGTGCAAGCAGGTGGGGGTTCTGATTAGCGTCCCCCTTCGTGTGTGCTGCGGAGCCCCAGCTCTGCTGGGTACGGGGGAAGGGGTCGGGGAGCGGCTCGTGCTCCCAGGTGGGAGGCAGCACGCACAGTGCGGGCCCAGCGGCTACGGGGCCACTAGCAGCCCACGGAGAGGAGATGACAGGGGCTCCTGTGGAGCACAGGGCCCAAGGGCCCACGCTGGGGGCAGGGGGTGGGCGGGGCACAGGGAGGGGCCCTCACCTGCTCAAACTCGTCGGTGATGGTCTTCGGCTCCTCATGCCTCTGGAACCACATCATGTACTTGGTGTGGAATCGCCACGACTGCTTCTTCAGGGCCTTGGCTGCCAGGTATTGCGCCTTCGTGCCCTGGAGGAGGAAGGGTGGAACCGGGGGTCAGGGGGCCCCCACACGGGTGGGGGCAAGGGGCACAGGGCCTCAGGGCTGACCCCGGGGCCCACCGTAGGCTGAGGTGGGGCCGGACAGTCCGGTTGCAGAGGGGCTGGGGCATGGAACCTACCACTGCTGGTCAGCGGGTGTAAACCGCTCAGAGCAGCTTCGAGAAGAAGAGAAACTACTGCGTGCTGAGAGCGGAGGACGGGTAGTTGGAAAGCTTCCCCTGGCAGGACTGGGTGGGGGAGCTTGTCACGACTCCCTGGGGTCATGCAGAGGGGACGGTTCCCTAGTGGCCTCCAGGGGCTGACGAGACTGCACGGGAATGAACACTGTGGGCACAGCCGCGGCGGCCGGAGTGGGGCTGGGGCTCCCTAGTCCCCGCAGTGGACCGACCTGGCCCTGGACCTCAACACGGACGTGTCTGCTGAAGCATGGACAGGGACGGGTCTGCCTGGCGGGAGAGTGGGGGGCAGGGAGGGCAGGACTGGGGGATGGGGAGGGGGTGCGGTCCCGGTGGCCGCAGTGGGGCACCCACCTCACCCCTCCAGCCCGAGGGGGGACGGCGGCGGTGGCGGCGAAGCCGGGGGGCCCGAGGCTGCCCCGGGGGCCCTGCTGTACCTCCAGATAGTAGAAGATGAAGAAGAGCGTCTCCGTTGACAGGCGCTGGTAGAACTCCACGGTGTCCGAGTGTGGGGGTGGCATCTGGTGGTGGTAGGGGGGCGTCGGGCAGGGGTTCCGGGGGAGGTACTGCCTGTGGAGGGACAGGAGGGTTGGCGGCCGTGCCCGACAGACCCTGTGGTCCGTGGACCGTATCGGAGCCACGATCTACCCCCCGCGCCCCACTGCTCAGGGGCAAGGTCTCCGGCACCTGGTCACCCCCACCCCAAGTGCCTCGGACCCCAGCTCTCATGGACAGCCCCGAGTCCAGCGCCCGGCCTGACCTCGTGTCCCGGGACCAGGGGACCAGGTCCCTGCGTGGGCCGCCTCCCACGCGCCCAGGGGTCCCAGCGCCTCACCGGATGCGCTCTGAGTCTGAGGGGTGAGGCATGTGGTGCCAGGCGGCCTCCTCCATGGCCTGCTGGTACAGCTGCTCCTTGGTGAGGGGCACAGGCCCCAGCGGACACACGCCCAGGGACAGTGGGATGTTCACCTCCGACAGCTGCAGGGGCGGCTGCGCGGAGGCCGGTGGGGCAGACGTGCTGCTCAGGATGATGTCTGCGGGGGGCATGGCGACAGGCCCTTCGGTGAGGCTGGTGGGGGGCCCGTCCCCCGGCTCTCCAGCCGCCCCCCGCCTCGCCCAGACCCGCACCTCGCTCAGTCAGGTGCAGCGCTGGCACGGGGTCCTCGATGCCGGAGCTGATGGCTGCCCGCTCCGCCATGGACTTGAGAGAGCTCAGGGGCTCCGGGGCCTGTGGAGAGAAGGGCGCTGGCACCACGCTCCACGTCCTCCGGTGGGCGTCGGGCTGAGGCCACCAGCGTGAAGAGCCCCGCTGCCACCCCACCTAACGGGGAGACGGTGCAGACGTGGGGGCAGGCGCAGCATCCGAGGAATGGCTGTTTGCTGGGGCCCCTACCGCGCCGGACCACGACGGCAGGTCCGGGAACACTGGCCTCCACACCCCCACCCCGCTGCCCAGGCTGCTACACCACGTGCACCCCGCCCCCACCATGTCCAGCTAGCACAGGGCCGTGGGGCAGTCTCCTGGCACCCATGGCGTCCCAGCTCCTCGCTGGCGGACAGGCGGGCCCGCAGGCAGTGCTGCCTCCCGATCACCCCGTCCTCACGACCCTGACCCTCACGGCCCCCGCCCCCCATGCTCTTCTCAGCGGCCCCAGCGGGACTGGTCCAGCCCCATCCTTCTCTGTCCTTTCTCCACTCACAAGCCAGCAGACCCCTCTTCCTCAGAGACACGCAATTTCCTGTGGTACCTCTGAACTGCGTGCTTACTCTGGAGCCCGCACCGTCCCCAGGGCTTGTGTCCTGTCATACCAGAGGTGCAACTGGGAGCACCTGCTTTGCCCGGAGGGAACGCCATGCAGGACGGGGGCCCAGACTCTGACACGGCGGAGCTAAGGTTAAACACAGGCCTAGAAAGTCAGTCCCACGTCCTGCTCCCCTTTCGGACTCTGGCAGGACCCCACTGCCTCCCCAGGACACCCGACCACCCTCGCAGCCCTGCAGCCTGCCTGTGCCCCCACCGCCTGTCTGCGGAGCCTTGCCCCAGTGTTCTCCTCCTCTCCAGCGGCGGCCCTCCTGCAACCCCGGCACGAGAGACAAGAGAACCACCCCTTCCTCCCTCAGCCCTTCCTGACCCTGGGACCCCCACCGCTCCCAGCTTAGGTCTCCTCGCCAAGGCCTTGCTGGGCCATCGCCCCAAGTCCAAGCCACCTCTGCGGGTCCACAGCACCCGCTGCCCCCAGCCCCGTGCAGTCCTGGTCGGCTTCCTGTAGAGGAGGTGGGACCTGGGTGTGCTCAACCAGCACGAAGCATGGCCCAGAGTGGACGCAGTGAAGGGAAAAGGAGGGCGGTGAGCCGGAAGGTGGGGTGTGTGCCGGAGCAAGGGGACACAGGGACAGAGAGAACGGTGGGGAGCCAGAGCATGGGAGACAGCTGCAGAGCGCAGGATGGTGCCGGAGCCTGGGGACCAGGCGAGGGTGCAGGGGTGGGGGTGACCGGCAGACCCGGAGGAAGGGGACAGCACACGTGTGGGGAAGCCTGCGGCCCACCTTGATCTCCGGGGCGGTGCTGAACTGCGGAGGCCCGTTGAGCAGGGCGCCGGCTGCCTTGGCCTCGCTGAAGCTGGGTGTCGGGGAGCTGGGAGGGTTCACAGGAAGTGGCACCAGGAGGCTGGGTCCCCCTGTGTTGTTCCCTGAGCCTGGAGCCACACCCCCAGCCCCCGCTGAGGCTGCCGCACTGGGTTCTTTCCTGGGAAGGAGGGAGGAGGAGAGGGCTCAGAGAGAGAACGGGAGGCCTTGGCGAGTGGGGGCCGAGTCAGACCTCTGCCACGGTCTCGGGACGGGGCCGAGGGAGAGGTCAGTGTTCCACCCACAGCGTGGGTCGCCTCAGGCAGATGCCCCCTGTGAGGTGGCCCACCCAGAGCCTGGTGTTCGGGCAGACCCCGGAAGAAGGTCTTCCCTATGTCCTTCGGACGTCAGTCTTTCTGGGGGCGATCTTCTGAGAAACGGGGACCCTCTCGAAAGTCTGACCTGAGAACTGGACTAGCAGCTTTTGGAGGGGAGTCAGGTGGGTCTAGGGCAGGCTCTGGAAAGGGGACGTGAGGGGACGTGAGGGGACTCTAAGAACAATCCCGATTGCCCGAGAAATGTTTTAAAACCTTCCGAAGGATCAAGCTAAGGGACTGACGGATACTATGTCCTGGGAGGAAAGAAGTGGGGACAGGACGCCTGACCAGGTCGGCGAAGGCCTGGCAAAGTCGGGGGCAGACACTCACGAGGTGCTGGGAGGTGGGTTGTGGGGGCCCGACGGGGGGCCCAGAGCCTGGCTACTGGCGCTGCCGCCCCCACTGCTGCTGAGAGCCACCTCTGCTGGGCTGTCCGCCACCACTGAGCTGTAACCTGGGGGCAGGAACAGCCATGAGAACGGGCTGACCACAGCAGGACCCACCCTGCCCCCCCACAGCCCCCCTGCTTACTGGTGGCGCCGTTCTGCTTGCCAGCGCCTCCGCCTCCACTGCTGTTACTGCCGCCGCCGCCGCCCCCTCCGCCACCGCCCCCTCCCCCACCAGGCTGGACGCTGGGGGGCCG